CTTCAAACATGTCAGAAAATTGAGACAGGGTTTAAGGTTGGAATTGTTTTTGAGCTCGAGACTTTAAAATTTTCACAACATTTGATTATTATTGCTATATCTTAAACAATCAACTCTTCAATTTCTTTATATTTATTGCATTCTAAGCTAGAATATGCATCTATTTCTTGAATAAATTCACTTGTTTCCATTAGTATCTTAGGTAATATTTCTCATAATATTTTTGATTGTTTGCCTTGTCAACTTGAAAAGTAAAGTGCTTTACCTTTTAATAAAAATGATTTTATCTTATTTGCTCTTTTTGATTTATTCTATTATGATATTTGGGGTCCAACTTCCACACTAACCTTAGAAGGTTCATGTTACTTTGTTATATATATATTGATGATTTCTTTTATTATACTCAGATATATTTATACAAACAAAGAACTGAACTTTTATAATTTTTGGTGAATTCAATAATATGATACAAACTCATTTTAAAAAAAAAAAAAATCTTCAAGTTTGACAATGCTACTGAATATATAGAAATTAAATTTCATAACTTGTTAAAAGATGATAGGACTCTTTCTTATAGGTCTTGCCCATATATTTCACAACAAAAAAGTCGCGCTAAAAGAAAACATCATCATATTTTTGACATAGTTTGTGCCATTTTCATTTTCTTTTTCCTTCCTGAATATTTTTGGGGTGAAACTACTCTCATTGTTGTTTACACTATTAATCATGTTAGGTACACGGTCTCCTAATACGTGTATATACAATAAGGTATCTGATTACTATTCTTATAAAGTTTTCGGATGTGCTTGCTTTGTTCTACTTTCTATTCATGAAAGTACTAAACTTGAACCTAGAGCTAGATTATGTTATTTTTTGGATTACGGTATAGAATATAAGGGATATAAGTGTTATGATCCAATGTCTAAATGTTTTCACATCTTAAGATATGTAGTTTTTTAGGAATATAAATAGTTCACTAGTGTGTCCTCATTACATTTACCATGTTCTTCTCTATGTATTTTTACAGATTTATCTTTTGATTTTTTTTCAAATGAGAAGACTATTATAGGTTTTTTTGACCCAAATAGTGATTTATCTTCTACCCCACCTATGTCTAATCTAACTAAGGCTTCTACTATGTCTTTTCATTATACATATCGCCTTCACTTTGTCGTTCCACCCGGGTAAGGGAACCTAATACTTAACTTTGTGATTTTCACTATTATTATGCTTTAACCACATTACATAAACCTCATAATTTTTGTGAAGTTGTCTCTAATCCTATATGACAGCAAATAATAGAAGAAAAGCTTCATGCTCTTGAGAAAACTCATACTTGAGATATTGTTGAATGACCTTCTAATAAGTCAATGATTTATTGTAAGTGGGCTTATAAGATTAAAACTCGATCTAATGGGTTAGTGTAATGTTACAAAGCTCATCTTGTTGCTCAAAGATTTACACAAGCATATGGCATTGACTATGAAGAGACTTTTGCCCTAATTACACGTCTCACATTTGTTCATTCACTATTAGTTGTTGCTACAGCTAAACAGTGGCCAATCTTTCCAATGAATATTAAAAAATGCTTTTTTGAATGGTGATCTTACTAAAGAAGTATATATAAAGCTAGCTCTTGGTTCGTTTATACCTTTCAACATGGTTTGTTGTCTTCGATGTGCTTTATATAGTCTTAAGCAAGCTCATAGAGCTTGGTTCTCAAAGTTTGTACCACTATTGTACAACTTAGTTTTACATCTAGTAATCATAATTATGCTCTTTTTACTTGAATTACTGAAAATGGTACTACTCTTCTCTTACTTTATGTTGATGATATGATCATTACTGGTAATGATGCAAATGATATTCAAGATCTAAAAACTTTTCTTCATTCTATGTTTGAGATAAAATATCTTGGTCTTTTAAGTTATTTTTGGGGCCTTGAAGTCACTAATAATTCTAATAACTTACATTTGTCTCAACCAAAGTATGCTTCTAATCTTATTGCTTGAGCAAGTTTAACTAATAACAAGATTGCATCATCACCACTTGAATAGATTTAAAGCTTTCTCCTTCTGATGGCACACCACTTTCAAACCTTTTTTTGTATTAAACTCTGATGGGTAGTCTCGTATGCCTGATAGTTACTCGTCTAGATATTGCCTATGTTGTTCATCTGTTTAGTCAATTTTTGTCTGTTTCTCAATTTACTCATTTTGTTACTGTCTTCTGGATCTTACGATATGTCAAGAGTATTATATTCAACGATTTGCATTTTTCCTCTAGTTCCTCTTTGGATTTGTATTGTTATTGTGATGCTGATTAGGCAGGAGATCTTAGTGATTGTTGTTCTACCACAAGCTACTGTTTCTTTCTTGGTTTTTCTCTTATTTCTTGGCAAAGTAAAAAACAAATCATGGTGTCCTTCTCTAGCATTAAAGCTAAGCATTAAGCTCTTGCAGATGCCACATCAGAACTTCTATGGTTACAATGGCTACTTCATGATATGGGTATTTCTTATCACTCTAGTACTCTTATATTTTGTGATAATCAAAGTACCATTCGATAAGTTACAATGATGGTTTCATAAGCATACTAAACATATTGAAATTGACTGTCACTTTATTCATCACCATTAACTTATTCCTATTACTAGTGCTAATAAAAAAGTAGTTATCTTCACCAAATCACATCTACCTAGTCAATTTTTTGTCCAAATTTTCAAACTCAAGTTGACCTCTACATTACCATCTTAAGTTTGCCAATGGATGTCAATGATATTCTCGTAATATTTTAGATTGATGATATTATTCTAGTAATATTTTAGAATATTCTAGATTGATTTGTATTGATTTAACTAATATGAGATATTTATTTAATATTGATTTAGAGAATATTAGATATTGATTAGGTGATTATCGAAATTGATTTAGTCATTATTTTTATTTATTATATTTTTTATTTTGTAATATTTTACCTCTATATAAATAAGCTTTAATCCTCATTGTAAAACATAAGTCATTATAATAAAGTTTTCATTTTTTTTTCTTTTTCGGAAAGAATAATTCAAAGATAAGAGTAATGAAGATGAATATAACCAAGAGAAGCCTAAGGGAGTGTAGCGGCTAGGTGCTATTCAATTTTGTCGAGAGGTGCGAACCTCCTAAGTAGTTGGTGAGGGAAACGAAAAGGTGGCAATAGGGTGCCAAAGTTTGAGTCTCAAAGCACAGCCTGATCCCCTAAATGTGTGCAACGGGTAACTTAGAGGAAACGGAAGAAGTGTTGGCAGCGCAAGAGGAAGGAACCATTGTAGGATTGTGCTGAGGATTGTCGGATCAAGGATAGCATTGACCGGTAGCGTACTTGTTTTGAGTATGGGAGCGAAATAATAAAAAACTAATCCCTCGGGCAGGAGATGGAATCGGTGTGCATAGAATTGTGTGGAATGGACGCAACATTACCCTAGCAACAAAGGTGATGTAGAACGAATGGGGCAAAATGTCATGATCTAAGAGTTAGTCCAAGCTCAGAAATTCTTTCTGAATCGAATAAGAGTTCTAGTTTAAGCGGGATTGAATCGAACAACTAGAGAGACTAAGCCTAAATGTGCACCAGAGGTCCAAAACGAAGGATCGTTTTCAAGGACATGCGTCAAGGCAGAAAGAAAGACTCTAAAGGACTAGATGCGGGCACCACAACAGAGAGACGTAGAAGCTTCTGGGAAGAGGTTGATCTTAAACACCGAAAGTCCATTCCTAAGTTGAGAGCCACACAAGTTACATGGCCTTTTGCATTGAATAATAGACAACAGAACAAAGATTTTAATTCTTTATATTTTAATTAATGTCAGGCAAGGCAAGCTCAATTACATACAAATAAAAAATGCTTTCAATTAGGACTAGTGTTAGACTTAAAGGTAATTAGGGTGTATATGAATAGTAGACAACAGAATAGAGATGTTAGCTTTTAATAATTTAATTATTGTCAGACTACACAAGCTCAATTACATACAAAAAAAAAAAAAAAGCTTTTGATTAGGAGTAGTGTTAGACTTAAGGTGATCAAGGTACATATGAAATTTTAACTAAAAAATATTTGTGTAAATAAAAATGAATAAGAAAAAAGATGAAAGATAAAAAGATAAAAACACAAAAAGAAAAAAAAAGATTCAGAGGAAAAAAGCTCAAAGGTTATTTTATTAATATTCTGACTTGTATGAAAATTTATATTGAAGTCTTGTTTATATAGTTGATGTGCATAATATATGAAAAATAATAATGAGAGATATTAAAAATTATATTTGATTATAATTAATTCTAGATGTATTTTTTAAGTCAATAATTAATTGCTTTTTAATTGTCAAAATCGTCTCACAATTATGCATAAAAAATTTGAGAAAATTAATATTTTCTAATAATTTTCCATTAAATATGACCATCGCTGGAATCGATTCAATCAATGCATGCCGCTACCAGAAGTAGAAAAAGAAATTACACCATGACAAAAAGTCGAACAATAGTCGTATGAAACAAATTTAACTGACGACAAAAAAGAACATTGCAACCAACAAATTTGAAACACCTGCTATAGATTTTGCTTCAAAAGAACAAGTTACTACAAGAATGACATTGGACTTGTCGTCTTATCCACCATATGTTTCCAAAATGGGAATTTCCTGAATATATATTACATATAAAATGTTTATTATTCTAGCATTTTATACTAGTTCCTTTGTTTTTTAATAATTATGTTTTAGCAGCTATTGCTTAATTAAAATATGCTGGTTTCTTAAGCCAACCTCTGGTTGTAATTTAGAGTATAATAATAGATTAAAGCGAGTTTCTATGTTTTATAGGTACAAATCTCTTACACTAAACTAAACTGCTTAGTTTTACCTACTTAGTGATTAACGATAGATATGTATTTTTTCCGTTTATATTTAGAGTATAGCACTTTATTTGCTTCCCACATTCCCTATTATCCGTCTTACTTGGCATTTCAAGAAGCCTGGTTTCTTGGTCCTTCATTATTGGTTTCCTCGTTTCTTGCGACCAGTATTCCTTCAAGGTTTCTCACGTTTGTTTTGAGCTAATTCTTTTCCGCTTAAAAGCTTTTCAGTTGATGTTCTGATCATGCCATTCTTCTTGCATTTCCTTGCCGTATGTTTTTGTGCTAATAACGAATAAGTAGGCTTTACAATTACTTGCTTGAAATTCTAGGGAGGCAGTTTCTTTCCTGTTTCACAATGTTTCTGTTCAACACTGCTAATGCTGCAGCTATGTTTTTATCTCTAATTTGAGATACTTCTCTGTTTCCGTCTCTGGGATTATCAAGGTACTACAGGCAACACCTAGCTAGATTACCGCAGTTCTAAAAGTTGATCATCCCACGCTTTAGAAATTCTTGGATTTTCAAAACAAAGGAAACAATCGGTGTATTTTCCAAAACAACTAAAGCTTATATTCTTTCAAAAGTGCTTACAAGAAGCAGTTTCCTGTTTTCAGCCAGCAATTCTTCTAATATCTGACTTTATGCTTCTGCTTTCAAAAATTACTGGCACGGTGGCACCAACCTTGGCTGATATGACATACTAAAAATGCTTTCAATTTTATAGTTTAATCCCGTTGTCCAAAAATTTCCGGGATATCCAAAACAAAGGAAATGGTTGTTGAGTTCCAAAACCTATCAAATCTACTTAAGTTTGTAGTTACCCTTTCGACCAGTACTTCTAACTTATTTAAGTTTGTGGTTACCCTTTCTACCAGCACTTCTAACTTATTTAAGCTTTTCTTCTTTGAATACCAGAATATGAGACCTACCATTATCTCATTTTGCCTTACTTTTTGTAATTTCTGTCTCTTGCAGCTGCAATTTAAGTTCTCAAATTTACTGGAACAGAGAAGACAAGATAAAAAGTATCACAGTCAGCAATATGGTGAACTTAAAACAGCTTGGATGAGGATATGAAGAGCACATGACAAGCTCCCTCCTCAGGGCCCATACACCAGTGGTCGAGATTCAAGAAATCCTGGTTGAATCATCAGAAACCCACAAAATTTAAATATGACCAAGGAGAAAGAGCAAAGCACGAGCATAATTCCATATTATAAACTGTTTTGCTTTGCCGACTCCTTAGATTATCTATTAATGTTTCTTGGCTCAATATCCGCTGCTGGAAATGGGATGTGCATGCCAGTTGTGACAATATTCTTTGGTGAATTAATTGATTCTGTTGGAAACAGCGTGACCATCACAACTGCAGTATATGAGGTTACAGAGGTATGCGGGAACATTTCCCAATATTACTGAATAATCTATATCGGTAAAACACGAAATGAAGCCATATTTTTTCTGTATAGGGATATGCAGTGTTGATATATATCAACAATTAAACTCATCCTATTTGAATCCTTTGTTGTTTCGATATGCTAGTGGAACCACATTGCCTTCTTAGCTCTTGCATCAATAGAACTTCAATTCCCGTATCTAGTGACCATCTGCAGGTCCGTAAACTGATTTAATTAGCAATAATGTTGATCAATTCTATCTTCAGGTGTCACTGAAGTTTGTGTACTTAGCTTTGGCATCAGCTATGGCATCATTCTTCCGTAAGTGTATTCTGTTGTCCTCCTTCCAAAGATGATGAGGGATTTTTAAAAAATAAAACAAAAAATTTGTTTAAATAATTAAGAAATATTGATATGCTGAGTTCAAAGGAGAATAATGAGAAAGATGCATTGCTGTCTTCCAGAGGTTGCTTCTTGGATGGTCACAGGAGAGCGGCAGGCAGCAAGAATAAGAAGTTTATACCTGAAAACGATATTGAGGCAGGATATTGGCTTTTTTGATGATGCAATTAACACTGGAGAAGTTATGGCGAGGATGTCAGGCGACACCCTTCTTATTCAAGATGCCATTGGAGAGAAGGTAATGTTGATGATATATATCATTTACTGCTGTTTATAAAAATTACTGTTGTTTAGCCATGCATGCAAATAAGAACTTGATACCGTTTGTTTGATTTATTTAATGCAGGTTGGAAGCTTTATACAGCAGGTGGCTGCATTTGCTGGAGGCTTTGTCCTAGCTTTTCTTAATGGTTGGCTGCTTACGCTTGTGCTGTTATCTTCAATTCCACCTCTAGTCATCTCTGGTGCTATCTTTCATAAGCTTGTAGGCAAGCTTGCATCCCGTGGACAAACTGCCTATTCAGTTGCAGCCACCGTCGTTGAACAGACAATTGGCTCAATAAGAACTGTATGCAATATCAGAATAGGAATATGGCATTTTGTTTTGCACTAGAATATGAACGTAAGTATAATACTGCCCTAACAGGTTGTATCATTTACAGGAGAGAAGCAAGCCATTGCCAGATACAACAAGTCTTTGTCCAAAGCTTACAAATCTGGCATACAAGAATGCCTGGCTGTTGGCCTAGGATTTGGCACATTGATGTGTATTTTATTCTGCACCTATGGGTTTGCATTTTGGTTTGGAGGGAAAATGATACTTGAGAAAGGATACACTGCAGGAAAAGTCATCAACGTAATTTTTGCTGTTGTTATTAGCTCTTTGTAAGTTTTTCTGTACATTTTATTTTTCATATGGAGATCAAGAAAATGTTTCAGGCAATAACTACTATGATGGTCTTAAAATTTCTAACATTTTATGTGGACTATTGAAGGTCTCTAGGGCAGGCATCTACATGCTTGAGTGCATTTGCTGCTGGGCAAGCTGCAGCCTTCAAGATGTTTGAAGTCATCAATAGGAAACCGAAGATTGATGCTTATGACACAAAGGGAAGAAAACTGGTTCATATTTTGGGTGAAATTGAAATAAGGGATGTTTATTTCAGTTATCCAGCAAGACCCAAAGAACTAATATTGAAAGGTTTCTCTCTTTCAATACCTAGCGGTAAAACTGCAGCTTTGGTCGGACATAGTGGAAGTGGGAAATCGACAGTGATTAATCTTATAGAAAGATTTTATGATCCACAGGCTGGTAAAGTTCTTATAGATGGTTTTGATCTGAAACAGTTCCAGATTAAATGGATCAGGCAGAAAATAGGTCTTGTCAGCCAGGAACCTGTGTTATTTGCTTCAAGCATTAGAGACAATATTGCCTATGGAATGGACAATGCAACTTCTAAAGACATAACAGCTGCCGCTATACTTGCCAATGCAGCAAACTTCATCGATAAATTGCCTCAGGTTTGAAATTCCTTGGACATCCAGTTAGATTTCTACTAGTTATTTTATTTATTTGAACATTTTTCCCCATACTAACAAGTCCTTTATTATAGCTGGCAAATGATCTTTTCCTAGCCTACGCTTGAGCACGTAACATGTCTATAAAAAGTTGTCATAGTTTTGGGACTTTGATGAATAAACCTATTAAGTAAAACTTTGGATCTTGAGCCATTTTCTGATTTTTTTTTTATAAGTTTTTCTTCATCCGTTACCTTCCCTTTCTTTTTATCGGCTCAGGGACTAGACACAATGGTTGGTGAGCATGGAATTCAGCTGTCTGGGGGACAAAAACAGAGGATCGCCATAGCTAGAGCACTTTTAAAAAAGCCAAGAATTCTACTTCTAGACGAAGCTACAAGCGCTCTTGATGGAGAATCTGAGAGGACTGTTCAAGACGCATTAGACAGAGCTATGATCAACCGAACTGTTGTCATTGTAGCCCATCGCTTGAGCACTGTAAGGAACGCAGATTTGATAGCAGTTATTGAGCACGGAAAGATTGTTCAAAAAGGTAGAATTTCTGATATTTTGCCATTTTATCAGTCAACTATTGATGGAACTTTCCTCATGTTGGTTCACACTTCCAACAACACAGCATTTTCAAAGAGTACATAAAACGAATACTTGGATTTTTCATTTTTGGACAAATTCTAGAACTAGTGGTTTAGTCTCTCCTTTTCTCACCTTTTTTTCATACTGATAGATGGTGTGTTGTGCTATTCCATCTAACTGCAAATCGCTGTACTGTTGTTTTGCTGTTGGTTTCTGGCTTTCAGCCAAAAGTGCTTCAATACAAAACCACCCGGGAACTGCACTCTCAAAGTTCAAAATTTAATATTCGTTTCCTTAGATACACATTACTTACGTAATTATAGTTCCTTTCTACGTCAGGTTCACACGCAGAGCTACTCAAGGATTGTAATGGCGTGTACACCCAGCTCCTAAGTTTGCAAGAGATTGGCAAAGAGATGGAACAGAATATAGTTCATGATTCAGATATTGGTCCCCAAATGTTATCAGCTCCGTTTAATCTATTCCTCGGTAGTAGTAAACCAGAAAAGTCAACGCCAAAATTAATCAATGTGCCTACTTCAAAAGCCTCAGAAAAGCCTCGAGATGTCCCACTTTCTCGCCTAGCGGATCTAAACCGGCCGGAGATACCTGTATTGCTCTTAGGAGCAATACTGGCAATGGCCAATGGTGTAATATTGCCAATTTTTGGCTCTGTGCTTTCTAGTGTAATCAAAACGTTTTATGAGCCAGCAGAGGAACTCAAGAAGGATTCCAGATTTTGGGCATTGATGTTTGTTGTTCTTGGCTTCGCATCTTTGTTGGCTAACTCGTTGAGCACATATTTTTTCGCCGTTGCGGGCTGTAGGTTAATACAGCGGTTGCGATCAATGTGCTTCGAGAAAGTTGTAAACATGGATATAGGTTGGTTTGATGAACCTGAACACTCAAGTGGTGCAATTGGAACAAGGCTATCCACGGATGCAGTTTCAGTAAGAAGAGTGGTTGGGGACACACTGGCTTTGCTTGCTCAGAGTATTGCCACAGCAATCGCTGGCCTGGTCATTGCTTTTGAAGCAAATTGGCAACTGGCTCTTGCCATCCTTAGTTTGCTACCTTTCATAGGAATAAGTGGATATGCTCAATTGAAATCCATGAAAGGATTCAGTGCCAATGCTAAGGTATCTGGGGGACAAAGAACTTGTTTGTGTGCTCCTGTGTCTGTTTTTCCTAACAAACTAATTGTGGTTAGGTTATATTTAAGAACTTGATGAAGATTAAATTGAAAGAGGACTGAAATATAGGTGCTTGAATCCGTGGGATGAAGCGCTTGCATGTGCCTTAGGATGTGTTTGTATGTAAGAATACGCTTGCATGTGCGTCCGTACGTGTTTTTATGCGCGAATCTTTCAGGACAGTTTTATATATATATATATATATATATATACATGTATAGTTTTGATTGGAAGTATCTGTGACATATAGGCTAGACTCTAGGGGTCAAATTATCACACCTACTTTTATTGAGGATGATACTTATTAAATGGTTGCAGAAAATGTACGAGGAAGCAAGCCAGGTCGCGAATGAAGCAGTTGGCAGTATTAGGACTGTTGCTTCGTTCTGTGCTGAAAAGAGGGTGGTGCAACAGTACCAACAGAAATGCCATGGCCCTGTCAAAGCCGGAATACGACATGGATTGATTAGTGGCATAGGTTTTGGAATATCATCCTTCTTTATGTATCTTGTCTATGCTATCAGTTTTTATGTTGGAGCCCTTTTAGTTCATCATGGCAGGATATCGTTCCATGAGGTTTTTCGAGTATGTTTTTCAGCACCCTTTCAAATGAGGCATTCCGAGACTATTAATTTTAATTTTTTCTTAATAATCATACCTTTTTTTTAAAAGGAAAACAAGGTTAGTGTTTACTAACCATGCGCCTAACTATTTTCGGCAGGTCTTTTTCTCTCTTAGTGCATCAGCTCTCGGGATCGCTCACTCAAATTCCATTGCTCCTGACGCCAGTAAAGCCAAGATTTCTGTTGCATCTGTTTTTGAAATTCTTGACCAGAAATCCAAAATAGACTCAAGTCAGAATTGCGGAAAAATACTGGAACATGTCAAGGGAGATATTCAGTTTAAGCATGTCAGTTTCAAGTATCCGTTAAGGCCTGAAATTCAAATATTCCGAGATCTTTGTTTGACCATTCGCTCTGGCAAGGTGAGGCCCTGTCTTATGTTTCAATTCTTCAATCTTTTCTGAGAGGAAAAGTTACTTTGAGCATTTTGTGCCACGCCTGCAAAATTAAGACTTAATATCATTGAAATAAAATCTAAAATAATAAAAGCTTAATCATTATAAAATTTTCTCTTCAAAAAAAATATCATTGTAAATTTTTTTTAAATAATCCATATTTAAAACCCTATACAGTTATATAATAAATCTCCAAAAATTTAATCAAACCACTAAAAACACTCAAGTATCATTGCACTTCAAAAATCTTATAGGTCAACAATAACTTAATGCTAAAGTAATTTTTCCAATTCAATCTAAATTTAATATTTAATTATTTATAAAGAGAAAATAAAAGGAAAATGACAAACTGCAGTTGAATAAATATAATCTCACATATTTTATCAAATCAAACATTACTTTTTATATATCATTAAACCATTTATCAATATTCGGTAAATCATAATATCAAAACTTATAAATACCAAGACAAAGAATTTCATAAAATCATTGACAAAACATGTCATTATTTAAATGTCTTATCAAACCAAGGCATATATCAATTTCTAAAATTCATCGTAATATCATATTTCATTCCATCATTTTTTTCATTTGTTTATTTTCTTAATAGCTACGGTTATTATTATATCTGTGGTAAGAATTTGAATTGTATCAACAATATTATTTGTATGATCATAATTAATTATTATATTCCATTAATAAGATCAATGCAAATTATTATATTCTGTTGATCTTTTTATTCTAAGAGCAATAATTTTTCATGTTTTAAGAAATTATGAACAATCAACCGCTTTATATGATAGTCGATTCCTCTCAATTTCTAAAAAAAAATTTCACTCTCGACTTAGAGCAATTGTCTTCACTTTATAACCAGTCAACTGCTATAATCTCATACCATATTTCAGAAGACTATCAAACAATAGCATTTGATTCCATTATAGTTTGGAATTGATGCCATTCATTTTCAGCTATAGTAGTTAATTGTTCAAGAATGGTATTTGACAACTATTTTATACGGATTTTAAATTTAGCTTCTGTTTATCCAAGTAGTTGATTCACTTACCAATATGATCAATCTTCTATATTTATTTCTCTTTAAACTTTGAATCATTTTCTTAAATGATAACTTAATATGATTTCTCTTTTAATAAAGTTAATTTACTTAATCATATTATTTTCATATTTTAAAAATATATCTAACATTCCACTCATCACCTAGCACCGGTTGCCCTAAAACTAACAAGGGAGACCTTTTTATAGTGTAACTACCATTGGCTGCATAGATATAACATTGAGGTACCAACAGAAGCATGCTAACCGTTTACCTTATAACACTGAAACTATATATTGATCAGCCGATAAAGCAAGGCCAGCATGTGAAGGGGGAACTTGATTGGTCGATGAGATTAGGACACCCCGCGGAATATGCCTGACAATTCAAAGCGTGGAATGATTTCTCTGAATTTTTTTTCTTATACTTTGGAACTGACAAAGTATGTTTCATAATTCAGACAGTTGCTCTAGTTGGGGAAAGTGGAAGTGGAAAATCAACAGTTATATCATTATTGCAAAGATTTTATGAAGCTGATTCAGGTCGTATCACATTGGATGGAATTGATATTCGAAAGTTGCACTTAAAATGGTTAAGGCAACAGATGGGTGTGGTGAGTCAAGAGCCTGTCCTATTCAATGACAGCATCCGAGCAAACATTGCATATGGAAAGGCAAGGGATACAACAGAAGCAGAAATTATAGCGGCGGCAGAATTAGCAAACGCCCACAACTTCATTTGTAGCTTGCAACAGGTTGAATTGTATTCTTTTATTGTGACCGTGTCACTGACTTGCCTGCGCTTAATTTCTAGCATTTGATTGCGAAAGATGCATGCTAAACTAGTCGCACAATAATATATATATATATATCTAAATATATAAAACTTGGCAAGAACATGAATATATCAGAAGCAATATAGGATCAATGATGGGCAAAATTAATTTCTTGTTTTCCCTGCAATTTAATTAATTAACGAAAATGAGTGCAGGGGTACAGCACAGTAGTAGGAGAACGAGGTATCCATTTGTCTGGAGGGCAAAAGCAACGGGTGGCAATTGCACGTGCCATAGCGAGAGCTCCAAAGATATTACTACTAGATGAAGCCACTAGCGCTCTTGATGCCGAGTCTGAACGAGCAGTTCAAGATGCACTTGATCGAGTTATGGTTGGGCGGACAACAATGGTGGTGAGCCATCGGTTATCTAGCATTAAGGGTGCGGATTTGATTGCGGTGGTTAGAAATGGAGTTATACTAGAGAAAGGAAGACATGAAACGTTAATCAAAATCAAGGGTGGTTTTTATGCCTCCTTAATAGCCCCATATACAAACACAAGATCATCCCATTGACCTTCTTGCCATATGCTCAGTGCTTATCTTATTATATATTGTTGTTTCCCATCTGATCAATCTCAAAATATTTTTGTATAGTTGAGATTGGAAGAGATACTGTAGTGTGATAATTGGATGAGAGCTCATTTACAAGTGCAATGTGTTGAGACAGTGGCATAGCCATAAATAGTATTATTTAGTTGGGTCAAAAAAAAATTAAAACTATACTTTTTTCCTTTTTTGTTGACTCTCTTAAAATTATATTGTTTTTCTTTTTTTTTTTTCAAACACCTAGTATTTTTTTTTATCTTTTTTAATCATTTATTATTTTTTATTTCTTAATCCATAAAAGTTTTAAAAAATATATAAAAAGGGATTGAAAGATTATCTTTTAAAATTCACAATATATGAATATAAAATTTTTCATACAAATCTTAAATAATAACAATGTTATTACAAAAATTAAACATAAATAGCAAAAACAAAAGAATAATTATCTTGTATGATAATTAAATTTTAAATTTTACATATGAGATTGAAGAATTAAAGTGTATCCATTAAAATATATTTAAAAACAATAAATTATTTAATTATTAAATAAATCTATAGCTACCATATAATTATAGGTGATAAAAGTTCAGATCAAATCAGATTCGATTTGATTTTTTTAAATATTACATAATATTATAAAAATTTAAAATCTGATTCGAATTCGAATCGAACTTTAATTTAATCTGAACCGAATCAAATTAAATTTTATTGGTTCGATTTGGTTTATCAATTTTTAATTTTTTTAATTTTTATATATTATTTTAATATAAAATTTTAATATATTTAAGTAAATTTTGATAAAAATTTTATTTTTATTTTTAAAAATTTTAAAATATATATAATTCGATTTGGTTTGATTTTTTTTTTATTTTTTAACTTCTTGATTCTAAATTTAATCTAAACTTAATATATACATTTAATATCTAAATTTGATTCAGACTGAATAAAAAAAATTGATTCAAACTAAATTAAACACTAAATTTTCAAATTAATTTTCGAATTTTTCATGTTTTTTTCATCCCCGCATCTAATTTTGCTGCGGAGTTTAAAAATGAAAATAGGCAGGCTTGCTTAGAAGACTTGTGTCTGAAGCACTAGGCCTAAGGCCCAAATCGATGCGATTAGACGTCAGAACATCAGGTTCATCTGGTTGTTTTAAGAGTCCTTGGTGATTTTCTTTTTCATCGTTGAATGAAATACTTTAGTTCGTAAGCATTTAAAAAAAAAACAAAGAAAAAGAAAAAATGGCGACGGTGCTGTCGGTCCACGATCGACGAATATTGACGGCGGTGAACAGTGGAGCATCGAGTCTATCGTTCGTAGGATCTGGATTCATTGTGCTTTGCTACTCCCTCTTCAAGGAACTTCGCAAATTCTCCTTCAAGCTCGTCTTCTACCTTTCCCTCTCTGTAATTTTTTTTATCCTTTTGTGAATTTCCTGAATTTTAGTAGTAATAGACTAGTTACAACTAGTAGTGGTTAGTACATTTTCATTGTTTTGTTCAACAACCATAATGTATGGAGTTAGGAATTTAGGGAGCCTGTCTTGTTCAATTCAATCATGTTCATGTAGATGAAGATTCAAGATCCAATTTATCTGTCTAATGCACTGCAATATTTTTCTCTAAAACCTCGGAATCTGAATCTAATGCTTTGCCCACTGCAAATCCTTCCTTTTCTGTTTCTTTACAATTACAATTGTCTCATTTCTTCATGCCTCTTTTGGTTGCCGCAGGACATGCTTTGCAGTTTCTTTAACATGGTTGGGTATGCTTCCTCCGCCCGCAATCAATTTCCCATGAATCTATTCTGTTCTATTCTAGGAGTTCGGGAATTCCTACTTACAGAAACAAAATAATGGTAATGATATGAATCTGTTTTCCATGCAGAGACCCGTCAAAAGGTTTCTTTTGTTATGCTCAGGGCTACATCACGCATTTCTTCTGTGTCGCTTCCTTCCTCTGGACAACAACTATTGCTTTTACCCTTCATCGTACTGTTGTTAGACACAAAACTGATGTTGAAGATTTGGAGGCTATGTTTCACTTGTATGTTTGGGGTATGACCATAAATATGTTTATCTCGCAATTATTCATTTCTTCTTCATCATCTTACCAAACTCTTTGGCCTTCTTGCAATTCTCATTTTTCCTATTTCTATCTCTGCTGACTTGACTGCTTCAAACTTATCTACAATGGTGCTTTACACTTGCCATTTTCTTTTCTTCTTCATTTCCCCTCTTTAATGCTGTTAACCAGCTTTTTATACGGGACTTTAATTATTTCCTGCAGGAACTTCGCTGGTTATGACTGTCATTCGTTCTATTGGTAATGACCACACGCATTTGGGTGCATGGTGTTGGGCACAAACAGGTCGCACTGGAAAGGCAAGTGAAAAACCAGCATTTTGTGGCAGATTGCCCACTTAGATATAGTTTTTATGTTACTAGACTTCAACTTTTCCTTTAACAACTTGGTTTCTGTAAGGCTTTCATGTTTCCTTACCCTGTTTTTTTTACCTTTCTGAATGTAGCTTTTGAGTTGCTGTGTCTTGACAATCATGTATTATAAATTCTATTTTACATATTAATTAAGCGTATAAGTGATGAGGTTAACAAAAGAATTTTGACTGGTACCTATCTGTACTCAATTTAGCAAGATATATTAGCATTGTAGAATTTTCTGATTTGATTGGCATATCTGTGCAGGCAATTCACTTTATAACATTTTATGTCCCATTATGGGGTGCAATTCTTTACAACGGTTTTACATACTTTCAAGTGATACGCATGCTGAACAATGCCACCCGTGTATGTTCACAATTATCTGTATCTATCTTCATAAATTTAAGCTGATATTATGTGTGCAATTTTTGACGTGTACTATCTTTGGACATTTTAGATGGCATTTGGCATGTCAGATCATGCATACCAGTTTGATTCAAGGACAGACACGAAGGTAATTCTTCTTGCATCAGAGCATTTGGTAGACTGAAGGTTAAAGATATGAGACTGCTTTTTTTTTTTTTTTTTTGCTTTGACTGCTTGAATGCCCTGTAATTCAGGTATTAATGCTGTTTCCTACCTTGATTGTTTTCCAGTGTAATCCTCATTTATTTCTATGAATCTGACGATTACATGTCTTCCATTTCCTAGAGCAAACTCATGCCTGTTGTTTTTTGTTTTCTTTTGCTACTTGGAAGAAATTTCTTGTTATGCGAAAACCAGAATCCTTCATTCAAACTTGCCCTATGCCATCTATTTCAGACTGCTATGTAAGTAAAGCTATGCTTTTTCAGGTTTCCACCTGATTTGAAACAGAGTCAGACTTAGCTGTTTCCTGCTTTCATGGTAGTTTTATTGCCTTTTCCACTGGCTTGGAGATTTCCCTCTCAAAGCCTTAGGGATGTAGTCATTCATTGGAATTAGCTTGTTTCTGCTGCTTTCTTCTTGTGTCTTTAATCATTCTTAGTTTAAATTAGCTATTGAAAGGAAATCTATTGCATTTGAATGAAGCTAGTTATCCTCTTAACCTTTGGCTATTGATTTCCCTTTCCCAAAGGCCTTGAACCGGTGGGGATACTATCCACTGATACTAATAGGATCATGGGCATTCGGCACAATCAATCGCATCCACGATTTTATTAAGCCAGGCCACAAGATCTTTTGGCTCTCATTTCTCGATATTGGGACAGCTGCACTTATGGTAATTGCTTAGGAAATTGAACTGCTATTTTTGTTTGACTCTGAATATGTAAATGTTTTTGTGTACCTGTCCTTGTTTTTATTAGGATGGGAATTAAGTTTCACTCACCAAAAAATTTTCCGTAGTGCATATTATTGAGAATGGTCGGCTTAGAAAGAACCATTTTGGTTCCACTATGGAACCAACCCAGGTTTCTAGGTCATTTCTTAGGTGAAAATTCTTCCTTGGTTATAAGCTAAATTATTATTGATGGATCATGATATGAACATATCTCAAAATTTTTTTCCTAGTTTTTTTTTTTTTGTTTTTGGTCAAAATTTTGGGTGGATAAATGAAATATATCATTTTAACGAGTTATGCAAATTATGTAACATAGATAGGACCAGAGTGAAAATCGTTGAAGGGAGAGGGGGAAACAGATATGCCCCCGCCTCAGATGCATCTATTTAGGCCCCAAATGCATGATTGTAGGTTATTCGGAAGGGAAAATCCTCAAGAGATTGATTATCTTAAAGGATGGAACCAAATTTTATTACCTTAACTGGTTTGATCCTCTTAAGTGCAATTGAGTTACTGTGATATAAATTATGAAGTGCTTGTTCTTTGTTATTAAGCTTCTCTGAGAAACGGATTTTGTGACTGCTGTCTTTTTATTTTAGGGCCTTTTCAACTCGATAGCATATGGTTTGAATGCTTCAGTAAGGCGGGCAATTTATGAAAGACTGGAACTGTAAGTAGCAAGTTCTGAATTTCTTATATTTCTTCAGAAATTGTACATTCATTGATAGGAGCCGTCAGGATTTTTACATATATATTATATTGACCACTTAATACATGGAACGTAATCACATATTTGGAATTCTGTGCTATTTGCTGCACCTCTTCACTGCTGAAGTAGCAATCTGGTGTTGGAAATCATGTTGATGATTTCTTCTTTGTTTATGAATTCATAAATTATGATAAAGATGTGAGACCACATAGCAGGGGAACATTAAATATGAAATAATATAGGCATCCTTTCTGAGTTCCAAAACACTGGATATCTGCTAGGAAATATGATAGAAAGCTAAGAAATTTTTTTTTTTGGTGGTCTTAGTTTCCATTATTTTTGGTATTGCTGCTGTTGCAGTTGTTATTTTCAGTGGTGTGAAAGGTTGAGTGCTTGCATCTTTTACCAGGTTTTGGCCTGAGAGGCTTCAGAGATGGTTCCCTAATAGTTCAAGGTATAGAAACCAACAACAACAACAGAGTGAATTGATCTCCCTGAAAATTCAGGACCAGCAATAGCAGCCTGTTGGAAATTGTCCATACTAAAACCTTAAGTGCGTGACTAGCTTTGTCACATTTTTCGGGATATTCATTCATTAAATTGTAGGTGAGATGAACTTTGAAATGAAGGGACGTGGATTCTAGCATCCAAGTGAAAGCTATTGGATCACTTCTTTCCAGCAAAGGGAGTTTGATCTGTATCATGGTGAACTTTCCTTGGCCTTCACAAGACTAACGTGATGTGGATAGGTTATTTCAGGCAGGATCTGTATTTTTGAAGTGGTGGATACAGTATGTCCACGGGCACAAATGGCTGTCCAGCAAAGTCGGATGCTATGCACCATATTTATCCGTAGGAAAAGCTGGAGTGGTTTTTTTCTTTTTTTTTTATACTAATATGATTTGTGTACGTCCTTCTCAGATACTGGTTTAAAATTGTTTCTCTCTGTGCCTAGTGGAAGCCAGGAGGAATTTGTTAAACTGGGTGGCGAGCCTGTGCCATTCAAATTGTACTATTACTAGTTAACAAGACTAAATAGATTTTTTTTTTTTTATGTCCCTAAATAGATTTTTTTTTATATGTATTGAAAATGGGAGACTACTTGGCTACAAAGGGAACCCCTTACAAACAGGGAACATTGTGCTTTTCTCACCCCACCGCCTACTGCAGGGTTATAGTTAGCGGTTTATTGTGGGCGCGGCTACTTGAGGATGTAGATATGCCGGTCTCACACGGGGTTAGGCAGGTTTAAATAGATGTTGTATTGTTGGACGTCAGTTTATCAATGCGGGGAAACTATTTTGAATTGAGGGCTCTCGTCTATCGATTGCTGTATAATTGATTGATCAGAGAGTGATTGAGAGAGAGCCAAGAATAACGCAATAGCCAATTATCTAGGACCAGCACATTGTCTGGGTTTGAAGGAAACGGCAAGAACATGGGGAGTGAAACCAGCCAACAATGGAAATGAAAGAAAATAAATACCATCAAAATGCTACTACTATTACTTTCCACGCCCGAGCAGATCGACTTCATGGCAGCTCCTTTTCTTCGCCCCCACTCTAATCACATTGGCGTCACTCTTCAGCGGGTCTTCACCATTCCTTTTACTGACAATTGGTTCGCTATGTTGCTTGGCCAGTTCAACCTGCGCAATTTTTGTCCTTTTTGGAGGGGACTGGAAGAGCTATGCCTATGCATGCCTCAAATCCATAGGAAGGCTTCTTCTTGACAAGTCCTCGTATGCTTTTGGCTTCTCTTGTGAGCTCTTATTAGCCCCTGATGACATTCTGCTTCTTACCTCTGATTCCTATCATGCTCACAACACCCCTCCCAGAAATAAAGCAGTTTTTCATCGTAAGGCCAGTGCTATTATTTTCCTTTTCTCGGATTAATTATTTCATGCTAATATATACATCTATACTTCACTTCTATGGCAGTTCAATAATCAATAATTTTTTATGCGGTCACTAGCCGCATCATAATTTGACGCTGGATGTAGCTTGGCCTGCTTTCTTTGTGGACAAAGAGACTGCTAATTACTGGGATGTCCCCTTCTCCATGGCACTTAATTTGACTTCCCTTCCCTTCCTTCTGATTCTGGTCTAAGTTTGTCATCTGTGTTAGCACCATAATAATGGGTCCCCAAAGCAATTTGAAGATGATCACATGGCTCAAAACCCTGCTTTTCTACTTTCTTGCTTTTCTGCCAAAGGCGCCTTTTCTTACAAGAAGAATGTTGACATTCGGAAAAGTAAAGCTCAGAAACTGAAGATGGTTCAACCTTGTGACATATTCCTTTCAGATCCCCACATCTCAGCATCAGGAATCATTGGCAAGATATAACAAACCTCAATTGTTGGTAACCTGTATGTTTATGGTGGAGAGGGATTTTTTCCATGTGCTATAGTTATCACTTCATTTTAGTTGATAATTCATATTGTCAATCCAGGTTGCAAAGTTATAATAGCTATCAAAATGTACATTTGACATCCTGTTTTAGCACCATAATTTTTGTTCAATTTATGATTGAATAATGATGCCATATTTTAGACTGCAACTCTTGGGAAATACTATAAAAATTCCTTGTTTTTATATGTATAGGTGCTGCTTTGACTGCGACTTTAGGGGAAAATTCAGTAAGACTACATAAAGATAATGACTAGATTAATTACTTCTCATTTCATAATCCAACTATAAAATCTACCCTTCTAGGGGATATATTTGCATCCTTGTCATTTACAGCCCAGCATGGAAAATTCCAACGGCTACTTTTTGATCTTACAAGATTTCGTGTTCGCCTTGATTTTCCTTCTGGCTCTAAATTTCTTTCAGTTGCCACACAATTATCTTAGGATCTTTTGAATTTGCGCCAGCCTAGTTCAGAAGCAGTTAAAATGATCTGCCCCACCGCCATCCTTTCCCTTCAGCAGCAGGTATGTTTTTTGAAATATTTCTTCGCCATACTGGATTAGGATGTTAACAAGAGATGCAGTTGAAGCCAATCTAGTTTTTCAGCAAAAAATGTATATATTCTTTTGACTATTGTGGTGATAAGACTTTACCACTGCTCCCGGGGACTTCTGACTGTTGATGTGAACCGGAGATTTCCAATATTGAATTCTGGATGGTGCCTCTAAGTTCCTAGGCATTTTCTGCCTTCTTATTCATAGCTGTCAACAAGTTTGTATTTGGGACATACTCTAAAATTCTTTATCTGCATTTTGCAGATTACTGGACCTTTCAATTTTAGAGTTGATTCTGGAGTTGTACTAATAGATTTGAAGAACAACGGATGGCACATACATAGAGATGAACCAGTATTTGCCATTTAATATGCATTGCAGGTCCTTGGTTCGGCGAAGGCTGTTGCTTGGTATTCCCCAAAGCATCAAGAATTTATGTTAGAGCTTCGTTTTTCCGAGACATAAAACCTGCCCCCTTGTGGATGTTCAGAAACTCCAGTATTGTATCTTCTGGTTTCTTTGTTCGTTCGAAAAATGTCTCTCACCTTTTGAGATGTTGTACTCTGGCTGGTTATTTAAGAAATAAAGCCATTCAAATATAAAAAGAAAATCTCAAATTGGATCCAAAAACCTTCCTTTTCCAGGGGCACATTACCTTTTAGGGTTGAGAACAAAATCATTACTGCTTTTTGATGGGATGGAACTGATATTTTGACTAACTGCAAGAAAGTTTGGTGCTATGTCCAGTTTGGAGGGATGGTAGGCATGATTACTCAATTCTGTCACCACCAGGTCTAGTAAAACATCAAGGTGTTCTTCATACCGTGCATTTTGTGGTCAACTCAGACTACATATTAAACTAGTCATGCTGCAACCTATTTACTTAAGAAGTAATCTAGTTTCTCTAGCAAACCGTATGGAGCCTGTTCTAAAATTCATCCTTGAGATGATACATGCGTTCACACCCACAAACCAGCTCTTATCGGTTAAAATTGGATTGATGTCGCAATGGATTATACATTACTTTTGTTTGGATATTAGAGCTGGCAATAATAAGGGAATGATTGAAGTGATTCAGTGAGAATGCCAAAAGTACGTAAATTGAAGTTGCTGTTCAAGAGCAGGAAATCAAATGTTTTCCTGCTTCAAATACCACATCATTTGGAAATTGTGAAGAAACTAGTCGTTTGAATTTCAAGCACTTTTGCTTATTTTTTTTTTTTGGGATAATGAAAAATGAAAAGAAGGGCTTAGAACTGACCAAAAGAAACCATGGTGGTTTGACCTTTATCAACAAACGAAAAATCAGATGACTACCTAAACCCTACATCTAAAGACTGCAAGCAAAAATGTCAAAGGTATGCTAATGAAGTCCTTTTGTGATATTCTGAGCTGTTGGCACTGGCAAGTTATACCAGGATTCAATGGAATGAACTTGAAGTTGACACCCCATAAACCATTAACAACTAGGATAATCTCAATCCATTTCTTTGCTGAATAATTGTTCAATTTTTTTCAAACTATTGGGTGTGTGTGTTGGAATTAATAAAAGGGAAGCTTACATTTGCTGACAGTATGATGCATACCAAAGCTAGTTGTGGGGCTACCTAAGGGAAGCAGTAGGTGCTCTTCCTTATATTTGACAGCCACAAGACAAAGCCCATGCGGTGGGGCAGACAAGGCATATTTAGCCAGCTCTCTGCGATCTCGAGCTAACAAAATCTTTGGAACAATATCAGGAGGAATTGCTTCCTTTCCAATTTGAAGCAACAAAGCAACCTACAAAAGTATGAAGGAAAAACCAAAAATTGCTTATGCCATCATATCATACCTATCACGAATTAATTTATAGATCTAGTTCATTTTCTTCACTACGAGCTTCAAAAATTTATAATGCAAATTAGTCCTATTCAACATCAGTTCAAGCATGACAAGAACTCAATTATATTGGCAGTTTACCACAATAGTGACATTTTATTTTATAACTTACCATGTTTCGAACTTGTCTATACAAAAACCCTGAACCTTCAACCTCCAGCTGTAAAAGAGCTCCCTGAACAACAAGCCAGTAGAAGGGTCAGTTTCAAAGTCTCATTTCTTCACAAATTGAAGTTAAATGACAGAAAAGCAGAGAAGGTAAGAAGGAAATAATCTGGACGGAAATGAATTAGTAAATCCATGATAGCTGGAAGCTAAAGTTGAAGAAGTAACCAATTTTTGCAGAAACTTTAATTATTCTCAGTATCAACAATTACCATTTCAATGACATCAAAACGGAAAATTGTCTTCACAGGATCTAGCACTCGATCATTGCGCGATGCATTAACAAAAGCAGAGAAATCATGCTTCCCAATAAACTGTTTTGCTGCTTCTCTCATGGCTGCAGTATTGAGTTTATAAACACTATGATAAGCATAGTGACGCTGAAATGGATCCATGATGCTGTCATTAAAAATCTTGTAGTGGTAAACCTTGCTTTTTGCTGAAAACCGAGCATGAAATTCAGGCATTGCAGCACTTATCTCTCTAACTCGGATGTCGGAAGGAAGAAGCCCGTTTAGAGCTGCATGAATGGTCTCCAAGCTGTCATAATTGAAGGGTGTAATGAAGTGTGCCACCTGAATTATTAATTGACGGTAAGTTTGGGGGTTATTGATGCGTGCTTGTTGAATCCTCATAGAAGTAAAAATGTCAGACCTGACCCCAGGCATGAACTCCCTTATCTGTCCTGCTTGCACCAACAAAATGGAGATCCTCCCGCTCAAGCTTTGTTATTTGAACTAAAGCCTTTTGCACAATACACTGTATAGTTGGCGGTGAAACTTGAAATTGCCAACCTGAAATAAATACTGGTGTTCAGTGCATCCGGATCTAAAAGGCTGAAACCTTGCTATAAATTCAGGGGTTTAAGCATATTTTAAGGCTGCTGGACTTAATAAACAAAGATGGATTGCAATTTATTAAGCTCCTTAAAAACAGATAATTAAAACTGCAAATTTCTAACGGCACTAGAAACCAAGAATCATGCATAACACCAGTGAAAATGTTGAAGCCGATTTCATAAGGCATAAACATTTAAATTAGTTGAAATCTCCTAAAATTTACATTTAAGGCTAAAAATGTTTCTTCTTTCAGGTGTTGGGGAAGGAACTTAACTGTTTATATAAGCCAGCAAACTGGCGTAAGATGTTGACTAAATTTAGAGCAGAAATATACTAACCTTATATCCAAGTTTTCTGCTTGTGGTGATGAAACAAGTTTGTTCTTGTACTCAATATTGAAACAAGTTGGTTCTTGGACCACGCTACTAGGCAAGCAAATGCCAAGAATAGGGGCTGAGCAATTTGCTGCATTTATGGAGGAAACTCAGATGATAACTGTAATGAGCACAGTAAGGATGATGCTATTGCTAATGCTACCATAAGAGCTTCCTCCGTCCTAAAAGCAACCTTATTTCAACTTTAAAAGGAGAACTTTTCAAAAGGAAACATATTTTATATTCCTGAGCATTGGGGATTAGGAGTATTCCTTTAGTATTAAAAAAAAATTACCATTATGTAATTAAGCAGAATCTCAGCTGATGAATGAGAAGCTAAGAGGCCTGTGATATAACTAATAAAGAAAAAGAATAAAAAGAAGGAAACCTGCATAGTGGGTGCCATCATAAGCTATAAGCAAACGCCATTTATGGTGGGGAAGAGTAATAGTTGGCTTCACCATTACCAAGTGATTAGCATCCTCCGCCTACAAACAGGAAGAAAGAATATATATATATATACATATATATTTTTGCAAAAAAAAAAGGGGGGGGGTCAAAGATGCAAGATTGAGTTGAGTTACATACAGATACAGAGTTAGAATTGGCGGAAGAGAGATGAGCATTTGGAAACAGAGGAGAAGGAAGGCCTAAAGCTCCACAATTCATCTCTCACACTCTCAACTCTGGTCGTGTCTTGTCCCAAGGATACCTAACAGATATCGTCACACCGTCACAGGCTCAGAGGCAGCAGAGCCTTTATTAGTTGCCTACACTTGATCTTATCAAAATTTCTCTGCAACCCATCATAACCCCGTCAAAGCTGGTGGGCCCTACATTTCTTTACATTCTACTCCTATATGTTTATATGATTAAAAGGTAGAACAGTTTCGGCGTCGTTTACGGAAACCTCCCCTTCTTGGTAGCGGATAGCAAAATTCCTAATCCCTGAATAAATCACGATGTTATTGTCTGCCGAATCCAGGCAGTCGAAGCTTTTGCCTAGGAGGAGAAATCGGCTATTGAAATTGTGCCATTCAACATTATGTGGCCGGGGACGTTTCTCCGTATCTATGTTTTAATTGCTTCCTGATTAACCACAAGGTTTTACTTCTTCCCTTACCCCCTTGTTCCTCTTCCTTCAAATTTCAATCTTGTCTTTTTCGCTCATCCCCTTTGTTTGCCTTTTTTTTTTTTAAGTATTAACTGCAAATCATGATCGGGCACTCATGCATTATTATCATCCATAGGATGTGTTGATTGATTAATAACGTGTTTGATTTGTGGGTCAGTTTCAGTTTTATAATATTTATAATTGCAATGGCTATCGGAAAGCTGATCGTTGTCTGTCAGTCCGGTGGAAAGTTCACCACCAATGCTGATGGAACCTTATCTTACTCCGGTGGAGACGCCCACGCAACGAGCCTCACCCTTGACACCAAATTTGATGATTTCAAGTCTGAAATTGCTGATATGTGGAAGTATGATCTCCATTCTCTCACCATTAAGTACTTCCTCCCCAACAACAAGCGCACCCTTATCACCATTTCTACTGACAAAGACGTACGCCGCTTCCTTGAATTCCATGAAGACTGTGCTTCTGCTGATGTTTATGTCATCATACCCACGCCTCCTGCTCCCAGCGATGCTACCTCCATGCCTTGTAGCAGGTCAAAACCTACCTTTTCTCACACTTTATTTATCTTGAGTATCATCTTTGCGTGCCATTTTTGTTTACTTCACCTGAATTTGTTTCTCTTTTGATATGTGCTAATCATTTATTTTTATGTCATCAAATGTTAAGAAAATAGATTATTGAATCATTTTTGTTTCAGTTGTTTTCTAATTCACTTTTGCTATCAAGTTTATTACAAAAATTATGCAGATTACAAACATACGACACAATAGAGGTAGCTGTTTGGAATTTTCAGTATTGATGCTTTGATATGTTGTTTCCTGAAATCGCATGAAAATACTTACCTATGCAGGTCCAGTCATACAATGCCCAATGGACCTGTTTCTCCAGTTGATGCTCCCTCTGATTTTGTCCCCGATGAACCTGTTTCTCCTGTTGATGCTCCTGCGGATTTTCTTCCTGATGCAGAAGACACTGAGCAGCAGAAAACACCTGGCATTTCATCATGGAAGAATTGCGTTACAGGAATAGGTCAGACTTTCAATACTCGACGCGAACTTCATGATGCTTTGGACAAGTTTTCTTTAGCACATGGTTTCCACTATACTCTTAAAAACAGCGATGGTAGGCGTTTTTGTGCAAGGTGTAAGGCAGAAGGGTGTCCTTGGTTCTTTATTGCACCAAAATTGTCCACCACCAAGTTGTTCAGGATTAAAAAGATGAATGACATTCACACCTGTGGTGTGGGTTCAATAAGGACTAATGCCTCAAGGAAATTGGTTGCAAGTATTATAAAGGAAAAGTTGCGAGATACCCCCACTTACAAGCCCCAAGAAATCATCGATGATATCCGACGGGATTTGGGAATTGAACTGAATTATGCACAGGCTTATGGGGGGATAGCAGCTGCACTAGAGGAACTTCAAGGTTCACATAGAAAGGCATATAATCAGTTGCCATTGCTGTGTGAGAAAATATTGGAAACAAATCCCGGCAGTGCTGCCATTCTCAACACCAAAGAGGACTCAAGCTTTCACCGAATATTTGTTGCTTTCTTTGCATCTCTCTATGGATTCCAGAATGGTTGCCGCCCACTACTTTTTCTTGATTGTGTGCCTTTGAAGTCAAAATACAGGGGAGAGCTGTTTACTGCCACTGCTTTGGATGGAAATGACGGTATTTTTCTTGTAGCTTTTGCAATAGTAGATGTAGTGAGCGATGATAATTGGCGCTGGTTTTTGGAGCAGCTGAAGACTGTGCTCTCTACATCTCATGAGATAACATTTGTGGCAGATATGAAAAAGGAAATGAGTGAAACCCTTGGCTTGATATTTCCTAATTGTTTCCATGGTTATTGCCTGCATCAGCTAACAGAAAGCCTGAAAAACAAGTTTAAGGGATCATTAACTCAAGAGGTAGTCCGTGTGCTAATTTCTGAATTTCATGGTGCCACTTATGCACCAACTTCTGAAGGGTTTAAAAAGTGCATTGAGACTATAAAAAATATATCTCCTGAGGCTTACGAATGGGTCTTGCAGACTGAACCTGAGCACTGGGCAAACGCATTTTTTAAGGGTGCAAGGTACAATCATCTTAAATCTAGCACTACAGAGTCATTTTGTGATTGGGTTTCGGATTTACCTGCAATGCCAATAACACAAGTGATTGAAACAATACGCCGTAAAATGATGGAATTCATGTATACACGTAAGATGGATTCGGATCAATGGTCATCAAAGCTTACTCCATCTGCAGAGGAAAACCTCCAAAAAAGTCTTGTCAATTCACGTTCCCTGGAAGTATTATTTTCACCCGGTAGTTGTTTCAAGGTTCGTGATACTTTGGGCATAATAAATGTTGTCACCCTTGAAAATTCGGATTGCAGTTGCAGGGAATGGCAGATAAATGGCTTACCATGTTTACATGCTGTAGCAGCAATTGAGCACATCGGCAAGAATGTTTATGATTATTGCTCCCGATATTTTACAATTGAGGCTTTTAAAGTTACATATTCAGAGTCTATAAACCCAATTCCAGCTTTAGACAGGTGCGTGCAAAGAGAATCCTCGCAAGTGCATGTAGATCCTCCTTGCATTCCCCGTCCGGTGGGTAGGCCCAAGGAAAGAAAACATGCACTTAAATCGAAACAAGCTGTTAAGAGAACACTTCAGTGCAGCAATTGCAAAAAGCTTGGGCACAACAAAAGGAAATGCAAGCAATTTGCTTAGCTCTGCTCTGTTTGTGTGCCTGGTAAAAACGTTATAGTATTTAGGTAGGTTGAAGGAAAATTTGTGATGAGGCCGACCTGGATGAGATGAACTGTTATAATAGAATCTTGTATGTAGATTGATTGGTCTGGATATTACAGACTGGGTGGTTGTACTAGTGATTTCCTTTTGGAGTAGGAAGATGTTTGATGTTAGGTTTACATTTGTACTTACAATGTAAGAATGGCTTTGTCTTTGACCTTTTGACCTAGTGGTTAAAAAGTTACATGTGAACGTGAGTTTTAACTTTACCATCTTTTTTCTCCATTTTACGCCTATGAACCCAAAAAAATAAAAAAATGTAAGAATAGCTTCTTTGTTTTCGGTAAGTTTATAAGTAATATAAACGAGGGCCATTCCTGCAAATATGCGTTGTTGAAGTAGTGAGCAACAGACAGACAGCTCGTTAATAACTTGTTGCTTTGCTTACCAGTGCCGGAGACAACATATCATATCGAAGCTCAAGTATCAAGATATGACAAAGCTATCACCTAAACAAATAAAAACCGTATTCTTGTAGTTGGCCTAAAGTAAACACTGGCAGATTTTTACATGGAGATCACCGAGTAATGTCTGATGCATCGTTGTGTACATCCAGATGGCTTTCATTCAGTTCTATAGCAACATTAATATATACTAGAAAATGTCCGTACATTATCGGGGATAAATTTTTTTTGTTTTGTCATTTTTATTTATTGCATTTTTTTATAAAATTTATTTAATTAAAAAACAAAAAAAATGAAAGATAAAAAAATGAAAATAACATGTGAATATCTTAATCGATTTTGTTCAAAAAAATTCATCTAATAAAAAGAATAAATAAAAACCTTAAAAAATTAAAATAAGGAAAATAAAAAAGGAAAAAATTTTTAAAAAATTCAGAACAAACTTCACATTTATTATCCTGTATTGAATTTAAAATATTAATTTTTTAAATTAAGATAAAAATAACTTTATTAATACAATATATATATGTATAAAATTAAATAAATAAATAAAATATATTTTTTTATATATATCTAAAAAAGAGTAAGGACAAAACACTCTAAAAAGGCTTATGACCTAAGCTTTTTTTTAAAAAAAAACTCAATCCACATCTTAAGTCAATCTCAATTTAAAAAATAATCCATTATCATATCAAGATGAATCAAAACTTGTTGGATACCAATTATTTTAACATTTCTATCAATTGACACATTTTGTTACAATATAAAAATACGAAAAAAAAAAAGCTAAATGAAATGTCACATCGACACTTGTATTAGATTTTTTCATAAAATTAAAAAAAAAAACACAAAAAAGGAAAAAGAAAGAGAAAAAATGAAAAAAAAAAAAAAAAGCTCATTGAGGCATTAAGTGAACATCTTAATTGAGTAGAGACCTATGAAAAATGAATTGCTTTGTCGTTCCTCTTTTATTTCAAAATTTATTTACTTAAAAACAAAACCAAATAAAAAAAAAAAGGAGATAAGTGTGCCATGTGAATGCTTATATAGTTTTTTTTCATAAAATGTATCTAAATTAAAAACAAAAAAATGTCAAAAAAAAAAAAAAGAGAAAAAAAAATAATGTAGCATGTCGAGACCTTAATGAGAGTTAAACAAAAATCAAAATGAGTCAAATTTATTATGATGACTCAAACCTAACTTACGAAGTATTATCCACTTTGATCTAAAGATTTCACGATTTTATCTTATAAAAAGTGCATTGCAAATTTAGGTTTAGATCTCTACATATATATCATAGCAGATCCTCTGAATTTTTTAATATAAGATTGGGGTATTATAAACTCTCTTGATTAAAACTAAATATCCATGTCAAACCAAACATAAAGCACATAGATCCATCGAAACACATCAAACGTTGGGCAAACCTAACATAAAGCACACATAGATCATAAGATCACACCAAATGTTATGATTCTAAAGGTGGTTCTTCCCATGTAGTACTTTATTCTTGCAAGATTCTAAAGATGACTTTCATAATGTAACACTTAGCTCCCATCTGACTAGTAACTACTCTTATATCATTTGTGAAAACTCATATCCAATCTGCAAGATATTATACGCTTTAAATCGAAAGTCTTGTAGTTTTATCTTACAAAAAGTACCTCACAGATTTTGGTTTAAGCTTATACTTATATATCATAGCAGATTTTTCAAAACATCTCACTAAGAGATTGGGGTGCACAAACTCCTCTTATTAAACCTTGACATCTCCATCAAGCCCAACACAAAGCACATAGATCCACCAAATCACATCAAACGTTGGGTAAGCCTAACATAAAGCTCGCACAGATCACAGGATCACACTAAACATTGAGATTCTAGAGGTGGCTCCCATCATGTAGTACTTAGCTTCCTCAAGATTCTAAAGGTAGCTCCCACGATGTAGCACTTAGTTTATATTTGATTGGTGACTGCTTTGATACCATTTATGGAGACCTACATCTAATCTTCGAGGTATTGTTCGGTATGATCCAAAGGTCTTATAGTTTTATCCCACAAAAGGTACCTCACAAGTTTAGATTTAGATGTCTACATATATACATATATATATATATATATCATTGCAAATCCACTAAATCTCCCAATATGAGATTGGAGTGTCGCATTTATATAGTAGATGGATTATATTTTAATTATGTATAAATATAGTATTTTTATTATATTACAATATTAAATAATATTTTTATTAATATAATACATATATATACATAAAAATAAAAAAAAATTAATTAAAAATATAATTATATATATAGTCAAGACAAGATTGTACATCATCAATTCACCTTCGATTTGATCTTGATTTTCAAAGAAAAAAAATCTTGATTCAATCTCAAATAAAAATGTTCACTTATCAGAGCTGGACATATTGAGAACTAGCACATACAAGTTGTTTTGTTATCTATACCTCAATTGATATTTTTCTTAAAAAAAATTATTTATTGATTTTTTTGGTAAATTATCCTATTAAAAACTATTAAACAAAAAAAATCTAAAATGAAAAAAAGGTGAAATAGAATGTCACATGTACACATCTATTGGCTTTTTTATAATAAAATAATTTGATTAAAAAAAAAAGCTAAAAAAAAAAAGAAAGTTTAGTTGACACATGACATTAACAATTATAAGCTTTTCTGAATATCATTTTTCTTTAAAATTTATCAAATTGAAAAAAAAAATAACAAAAATAACATTTTTAATTAGTAATATGAAATGGATTCCACATTAAAAAAGTTAAAATATTATAAAAATTATAAATATTTAAAAAGAAAAAACAATAATAGAAAAATGAAAGAAAAGAAAAAAAAATTGACAAATGGTATACTCCGATATCAAGTTGGCAAGAGAAAAAACAATTTAAAATTTTTAAAAATATAAAAATAAAAAAACAAAAATGTGATATTCCTTCTTAAAAAGATTTTTAAATTAAAAAAGAAAAAAATGGGTCACAAAAAAGTTTTGAAATCTAAAAAAATATTTATTAAATATATAAAAAATAATAGAGAAAAAAAATATAAATATGTTGTATACCATTAGTATCAAATGAGTCTCATACAAAAAAATTAAAATTTAAAAAAAATTTATTAAAAATTTTTAAAAAACAAATCTAAAAAGCAAAAAATTCTTAGTATAAAATGAGTCCCACTTAAAAAAAATAGATCGTAAATGATATTTATTAAATATTAAAAATTATAAAAAAAAGTTAAAAAACAAAAAAAAAGTGAAAAAGTGCCACGTGGTACACCTAAAAGAGACCATACATTAGTAATATTAATATTATAGACTAGGAATGTGTCCATTTATTATTACAAGTAGGCCTAATAATTCATGTATTCATATCACATAAAACAATGAAGGTGCTATAACTTTTATCACACATAGTCGTACTCTTAGACCTACTTTTGGTTTTGTAGATTAGAATTTACTTTTTTAAGAAACTCAAGTCAAACTTGAGATATCTTTTTAAAAGGAGATTGATTCAGTTAAGTAGTAAATTGTATTTAAACAAAAAAGATTGATGACGATTCCTCTTATTATATCTAACAATAAGTTTATATACTTATACGTTATGACATCAATCATTTCAAGTAAATTTTGAAGAGAAAAAAAAAATGCATGCATTGGTTTGATATAAACCACCTTCATCAATTCAAATCCAATCATAATAGTCTTATTTTTAGTTTACCTTCAACTCGTTCTCTACCAAGTTCATTTGCACCTTCTTTCTCAAGCTTTTAAAGTTAATCTACAAGTAAAGAAAAAAATTCATGAAAATGGAAATTAGAATTGAAAGCTCCATCATAACCACCACACTTTTAGAACACATTATAATTATGAAATACAAAAAACTCACTCTGAAGATCATATCATAGAGAACAATAAGTGAAAATACCCTTTACCAACACTTATCAACTTCATTATGCAACCATTGTTGTCACCTTGAAATATTTTAATCAAACCAATATCTCACACTTGCAAATTTAAAAATAAATAAATAAATCTAATCAATATTCAAAAACTCAAAAAATAAGCAATAGCATTTAAACATGCAATTAAGCATGCGCAATAGAACAAATACACATTAAAAAAATGAGATAAAGAGAAAATTAACTGAAAATGAGTAACTCACCATTAAACACATACCTAACTTATTAGCTAAAAAATGAACAAAAGAGTAACAAAAGCATTATCGCCATTAATCAATACATTTTCAACATGGTAATCATTAGGCGTACTAATACTAATAACATTATCAATAGCTAATTATAGCATTCTTTCTCCATAATTGTCAAAAATCTCCCTTTTATCTACTGGAATATGTATGGGTACACTTGAAATGGCTTTAAAAACCAACATTAGATTATATAGGGTTGCAACCCAAGGAAAAAAATGATCAAGCAAAAATTATGAGTTAACAGAAAAGACAATGCTGAGTAAATTAAAAGAGAAAAAAAATTTAAAAACACACTTTCAAAACTAAAAAAAAAAAAAAAAGATATAAAGAGGTGTGATCAACAATTTAAGGAGAAATTTTAAATAAACGAATACGTCTTACAATAAAAAAAAAAAAGATAATGATATTTAAATACCTAAAATTTTGCTCATTCAATTGAAACCCATGTCTACACCTATAAAATAATCACAAAAAAATAAAATTGTAAGCATTAAGGGCATATTAAATCCTATAAATCCAATTATACCCAATTAAAATATCTTTAATCCTCCTTCTTAAGAAACATTGAGAACTTACTTGAAAAAGTACTATTTTGCACCAACAATAATAAAATTGTACTTGAATTACAAGATTGTTGTGCTTAGCATATGATAGTAATTCAAAATTTTAAAATGAGGCTTGCTCCAACAACAACAAAGTGGTCACAAAGTCAAAATAGGTATTGTTTTTGCAA